CAGCTTGACACAAGTTTATCAGTGAAAAGACCACGGGCATTCTTCCTCCCTCCTACATTCTCAGAGTAGAATAGAATTTATTATTAGCACAATTTATTACAGTGCTAAATTTAATATTATTGATTACTAATAGTTTATGCTAACACCTAGCTTTCTTAACGCGAGAAGTACTACCGTAAGTCTGTACTTACTTAAGTACTGCTACTGTAAGCAAAAAAAAGGGGTTTTGGAGGGGGGGGGTGTCTTTCGCTGGAAGACTCGCCCCCTTCTACTTTGAAAATACCTGTGAAACCGGTTTAATTAGTCACAGCCAGCACTACCGCAGAGAGTGATGAAAACCGCGCAGCACCAGGCAAATGCACATTAATATGTGGGGCTTTTGGGCTCAGGTGGATTTGCGCCCTACAGTTCAACCTGTGGTACCACTGTGTACTGTACATACAGTATGAACATGTGTTATTTTGAAATATAAAAAATGTCAATATACTGTAGTGTCCATAATATTTGCTATTTTAGTTTTTCAAAAAAGTGTTTCTGTTAAAAAAAAAACCTCATAGCAATTGCTGGATTTGAACACCCGACCTCATGTCTATACAGTACTGTAAATCAGTCGTTTAAGCCATGATGCCACCAAGGCAAGACATGTGACACACACTGAAACAGCAATACAGATATTACAGTAATATGGTCAGAAGGTCAACCACATGTAAGACTTTGGTGCTTAAAATGTTTAGGGAGAAATTGAGTATTGGTGTGTATTTTTTCTTTAAAATACCAATAACAGCAACATACAGTTTACATAATATGTTTATGTTCCTAAATTAATATCATTTATGACCTTTATGACCTTTGTTATGGTCCTCTGCGTTTTATGCTTAACTTCTAAAATTTCCCTTTAGTGGTAAAATTCCAAATAAATATTCAAATATATATATAATATTCAAATATATATTACTAAGCGGATTAAAATGTGCACAGTAAAGAGATTAAATTATTAAATCTATTCACTAACGACCAATACACAGCATTATCTTCCATGTCGCATTAACATTGGAATGTTTTTTTACAAGTGTCAAAAGAAGAGATACCTGTCTCCTCTATAACTCTTCAGTTTACAGAGAAATTCCGCCAGAGCCTCACAACATTGTCCAATAATACTCTTCTTGTGTCAAATTTTCAGTTAAGCAGGATTTGAACTACAGACCATAACAGACCAAAAAACAGAATCCACCTGCGATTCGGGTGTTAACAAAACGTGTTTAAAAAGAAAGTGAAATACAGTAATACTACCAGCTATATAGATACATATATTTAGATATTTAGATCCTTAAATTAATATCATTATTAATTTATTTAGATATGTGATTACATATTCTCGATTATAAAACAGATAATTCCGGACCTGGAATTTGACTGGCTGACACCCTTCTGAAGCGGTACCATAATCTCTGCTATACGGACACCACAGAAATTTGACTTTTTACTGTGTGATAAATTTTAAGGACTACTTCTTAGCGTAGATAAAAAAAGCATAGATAAAAAGCTTGGATTCTCATGTATCCGATACAAGTATCTTTTAATACAGTCTTTGTTGTGCTCTTGAGGATCCTTGTGATATATTGAACTCTGGTTGAATGATAAGTGTCACAGTTTAAATAATTTCCGTTGTTGGAAATTATGAAACGCTCTGTTAAAAGCAAGGGAGATTGTATGTCCGTTATAGTAAAAGAATAATTTGTGCTTGTACAAATGTGCTAAAGAAATGAACAAAAAAGTCATTTATTCCTTCATCATGTTGGCTAGCTAATGTCCTGTCCTTGTTAGTTAGATCAACGAAATGCTGTGGTGTTTGTCAATGAAAAAAATAAAAGTCTTTTCGTTTAAAATGATGGTTAGAAAGAATGTGGACCAGCGTAATACTTTGAGTTTACAGCTTGTCCAAAGTCATTCATTATTGATACTATTAGTAAAGGCTCTGATGCATAAAATATTTCTGCATAATTAAAATATTTATGATATTTATAATAAAGGTAGGTTGTGCACTTATGCCCAACTGAGCAATCTTGCTTTCATAAAATATACCAACTTTTTAATGACTGATGATTAACATGCTGTAATACACAGTTTAAATTTAAAAGCTCAAATGCTGTACATGAGAGGTTAAGCTTTATTGGCTTCTCCTGGCGGTTTTACAAGGTGATTCCAGATACTTTCCAGTATGACGTCAAATAACGCATTACACCTCCTGATACTGCGTGATACTACGTTTTGACGCGACAGTGCCAAAGTTGGATGCATAACTCATGCCTCAGTTGGACAAGATACTTGAATAACTTGGCTTTACACATATTATCAAAGGTTCATACCAAATTTATCAAGAATAACCCCCTCTCTAACCAGTCAAAAAGTGTACTCCGGATATTGTCCAGTGAAAAAAGCAGTGATCAAGTCACCTTCCAGACAATTAAGGACCTACGTAGTGATTTTTCAAATCTTTTGTCTTGCAGACAGATGCCTATGGAACAGGACTGAGAGTGGTCCAAGAATGTAGTGGGCTGCAATGCCTAATAGCTTACCCTTGCTGTAAGATATCACCAAGAAAGCACTGCTTAAGCACAAAAAAGAGAGCTAGAGGATTAAAAAGGAAACTAAGGCCCTACAATACTACCTGATGGGCCATAAATTTACCCTGGTTACTAATCAAGCTCCACTCAGTTGGCTCAAGGATTCCAAACATTGTGTGACCCAGTGACATTTCTCCCTGCAGGCACTTATACAGGGCGCAGGACAGGCCAGAAAGTGCTTGTCAATGCTGCCTTCCTGCCTGGGATCACCTCTCTTGCCAAAGCCAAAATGGGTCAAGGATCCATTTTAGGTGAGGGAGTATTCCAGGCCATAGCTCGTGCTATCTGAGTGGTTACAGCTGTTACTGTTAACTGCTGTGATCACTGCCAGCTGCATATTACTGTACATAAACATGCACTCCCTTCAGAAAGTGTGTGAAGAAGTTGGCAAAGGGAGATAGACAGTACACAGTGTAGAGTGAAAGTCCCAGAATTAGAAGGAGACAGGATAAGCAAGCTGCAAACTTGTCAAGGAAGGAAACAGCCAGGGGGTTAACAGTAAGAGAAAGTGAGAGTGAGAGGTTCTTTTTAAATTAATTCCATGTTTTTTTTTGTTTAAAGAATCAAGAGTGTTGTTGCACCCTTTCCCCTTTCCACTTCTAAGTAGCATTTTTAGATTTTTTTTTCAGTAAGGCACATTATCTAAACCATAAGTCACTCTGTTAAATGCATTTTTGTTCTTATTTTATTTGGGTGCATGAAGAAATTAGAGGACATTGTATTTTATATTGCTATAAAAATTCTACTTGCGCAGCTTAGAGTATATTTTTGAAATATTGAAGTATTAAAATGTTACTTATACTGAGATGATGATTATGATTATTCTTTCATATAAAATAGTTTTGAATAACAATTTTATTTGATTTATATATTTATTTTGTCTTTATGGTTTATCTGTAAAACAGTTGATTTTTTCAAATATCTTAAAATAGTCACTAGTACATTTGTGTCCTCATTTCCACTAGCTGGAAAATAATGAAAGATATGCTCTATAGAGCATGATATCACCTGACTAAAACTTACATCAAGTCCTCTGAATTCAGTACACACCAAAATTATGCATAAATATCATATTACATTAGTTTTATATTATATACATGTATCACATTAGTATTGTATATTATATATACAACTAATTTAAATAAGTGGAGTGCCCAGAAAAGCACTATATAAGTGTAAGCAATTATTATTATTAAATGGACAACACAGTTCTCAAATGCTTTCAACAAAATTAATAAAAGACACTAACATCTACATATTTCAACTTAAGTAAGACTATCTTTAAGAAAACATTACATTTTTAACTTACCATCTCTTCTGTTCAACTTAGCAAAGCCAGGGCTGTGACTATTAGATAACTGGGAAGAGCAGTTAAATGAGGTCTGAGGCAATACTGATACCAGCTGGCCTTCACAGTTTTCTGGCAAAAGAGATAAAATCACAATTAGATAATGAGCCCTTTCTTATCTTCATAGCTAAAAACAACAACATATAACAGTCTCTGCAAAATATCAAACTCAGCCTAGAGGTCCTATATTAGTTACTTTCTTGAAGTAATTCTTGAATGAGAAAAAACAGAAGTGACCTTAATGCCAACCATTGCGTGATATTAACAATCAAAAGCAGAATGGAGTACATGTATTTTTTAAACAAAGGAAAACTGGAATGTTATTGACCAATAATTAGGCATTACAACTCCTCCTGCATATCCTCTGCTACAGCTTGAATCCATACATTTGCAACATGATATTCACATTAAACCATCACCATTGCATTAAGAAGAAAACAACAACACATAGTAACTTACATCCTAGAGAAATAATATGCATGACATTTAAATTACAAGGAACACATAGAAAAGTATGGTGACAATAACTCTCCAATAGATTCAATTAAAACTATACAGGATAATTTACTCTTTTAAAACACATCATTGCACTTAATAGGATTATGATAATAATCTAATATTTAGTCAATAATGCAGTGCGAATCTGCAATAATAAAATATTATTATTATACACCAAAATGTATAATGTATAATGTGTATAACAATAGACAAACTGTAAGTTACACTTTCACCCGGCATGAGGCCATCATCAAACCTAATGACATTTGTTTTAAACATCAGACTAGAACTCTGAACATATAAACATACAAAGCCTAACTACTATTTTTAAATGTGACATGTCTGTAACTTGATTGGGACCTTTAATTGGGATTTTAATGCTTCATGGAAATTCTCAGAAAACACTTAATTTCATGGAGTGATTAATCAAAACAATATATTTATTAACAAAATATTCTTAATATTGCAATTTGCTGTGCAGTGAATCCTTACAATAACACAGCTATGTGTGGCTGTTAGACAAATCTTTAAAGTATTAAATGTTTATTAACCCATTAGGGTTTTTTTCTGCGATAACCAATACAGTATGAATACTAGTGACATACAATCTCATTAAATACAAAGATTACACTGTTGAGATAGGATGTTGTTACCACATTGCTACCACAACTCCAAATAAAATACATCACAATATTGTATAATAATGTAACAAATGGGAGGGGGAGGGGGGGTTAAGAATCACCTGCGTTCTTTGCTCTATGGCACAGCTTTGGTGAAAAGAGTAATACATCAGGCACAATTAGTTAAACAAAGATTTATTAATAATGATACAACACTAACAACACAACACACTACATAATAAACGCGTCTCAAAGGCCTGTGTCCTGACAATCCAGAAAAACACCACACTGCAACTAAGTATTCAAATCTTACATAATGCCTAAAAAAAAAACCAATGTATTTAAAAATAAAAACGATTACAAACACCAGCAGAGAGAGAGAGACACACACAGTTTTTCATTGTCAAAAAGTAATTGTTTTTTACTTTGTCAGCACCCAGACAAACGCAAACGTGTTTTTAATAAAATGCTTTTATTCATTCTTAATCAGACTCACATTCCCGAATTCCCCCCGCCCCGCTCAACAATCCTAGGAAGAACACGAAACAGCCTGTTAATTCTTGCAATTTTTTTCTGTCAGTTCTTCCTCCCAGAAATTGTAGATCACATTGATCAGTTCTTGCTTTGTGCTGGGTTTAGCAGTTTTCCGAACATAGTCTTTCAGCTAATGCCAAACC